AAGAGAAGCCATTAGCTTTGAAGAAGACCTTCTTGGATACAAATCACAAGACAGAATTCTATCCTTGGGAATGGGAGTAGGCCTTTCATTTGCAAATTTCCTGATGCTCCATTTTAAAAATAAGCTATTTTAAAAATGAGACGCTGGAATTTCAGCAGCAGTACCTCATTTTACAGATGAAGAATTAAAATCCAAAGACTATAATTATAACTGATATTAATTGACATTATGTATTTAATGCTTAAGACCCTAAGGTAAATCTATAAGTGTATAACCCAATCCTCACCCTGATTTTGTGAGGAAGGTACAAATTTAGCCCCATATGATACTGGAGGAAACTGAGACCCAGAGAGGCTAAGTGACTGATCAGATGTCACATGGCTTCAAATGATGAAGACAGGATTTAAACTAAGGTCTGTCTGGCTCCAGAGTTTAGGTGCTTAACCACTGTCCTTCACTGTCTCTGTGCTTTCTTGTCTTCTGAGAGTCACAAAGGTCTTTGGTAATGTCCATTTCTGGAATCGGCAGTTTCATGATACAGGGTCTTCTAAGACCTTAAAGGAAAAATTCTTTAACAAGTAGAAACGAGGGATGCCTGGGTGGTTCAGTCGGTTAAGCCCCTGACTCTTGATTTCAGCTCAGGTCCTGGTCTCGAGGTCATGAGATCGAGCCCTGTGACTGCCTCCATGCGCAGCGGGGAAGTCCACTTGAGATTTTCTCTCTGCCCCTCCTCCTTGTGCTCTCTCTCTCTTCCTTTCTCTCTCTCAAAAACAAAACAAAACCACCTTTAAAAAAGTAGAAATTATAATGAAAATGAATGAAAGTGAATTTTTTGAGGCGGTGGCCAGGGTACATGCACGAGGTTTACTAACCCTCACATCAAAGTGCTGGTTCTAGGCTTTCAACCCTTGGGCCTCTCGGGCAGCCCCCCTGGTTGATTTCCAGTTGCTCACCAACAGGCCTTCTCTATTTTAATCAGGTTGAACACCTTAAAATTCCTCCTATGGAGTTTACATTTTCTTTTCTCTCTTCCCTTCCAGAAGCTGTCCTCCCTATCTGAAATACCATGGAAGAAGTTAAATATGGCCACAGATTTTTTTACGGCAATTCCCATAAAAAGGTGGAAGCTATTTCCCCACTGCCTTGAATCTGGGCTGACTTTGTCACTTGCTTTGACCAACAGGCTGTGGCAGAAGTGACATCTTACAATTTCCAAGCCTTGGCTTTCAGAAGCCCCGAACCCTCTGCTTTCACCCTCTTTGAACACTGCGGTCATGAGAACAAGCCCATCTGTGAGGATGAGAGAGACCACAAGGAGAGGCCCAGCAGTCCAGCCATTACAGAACCCTTTACTGAGGCTCCAGACTATGAGCAAAGTTGGCCAGTTGACCCACCAACAACTGCAAACAAATGCAGAGTGAAATGAGCCATCCTAGCTGAGCGCTGCCCAACTTGCCAAGCCAAAGAACAGTGACAAACGAGTGACATCTTAACCCCTTAAGTTTTGGGTGGTTTGTAATGCAGCAGTAGATATGCTAACACATGCTTTTTTATTCCTTTTTTCCTAATATGTCTACCACCTTCTTGTAGACTGAACTTCAAAGTCACTCCTCCAAGAAATTTTCCCCGATGATAACTTGCCCTGAAAAGCCAGCCTCACTCAGGTTTAAGATGATGCCCTCTAAGGGTACAAAGACCTAGCTGCCTCCCTAAGTACTTCCCCCATCCACTGGCTGATGCCATTAAAGTTTAATTACTTACATAAAAGCATAAATGTCTATTAAATTTTAAGCGTCCCTGGAAGGGATAACAACTTCTGTGCTTTTGATTTTGCTCTTATTATAAAAGTATACAGGAATAGAAAGTGACCCTAACATCAGGTCACTTTCCCAAAGAGAAAAAAAATTTTTTAATGGTTTTGACCAGTTTGAATATAAGCCTTTGAGGAGGGACATCAATGAGACAGTTATGTATCTAATTTCAAATGTTTAATTGATTAATCAAGCATACATATTTAAAATAACATTATATAAAACAACTTTTGATTTAGAAGTCTTTCTTTCTTCTACTCTTGCATTCCGTGAATGTATTTGATTCACATTAGCCATATGTGTCTAGTAGCAAGTACTCTCCATATCACTGGAGACACTTTTTGAGCCATCTGAGTTTTCCAGTTGGAAAACATCATCCTCCCTCACATCTAATTTGTACTTTTTTTAAACTATAATGCTGCCACTGAAGTTTTTATCACAAGCCACAAGTACCCATTCAAAAAACACTAAGACAGTGATTTGTCTTATTCACCCTACAAGTGTATATTCATGATCTTCACAGGGGAATCACTTACAGTATCACTATGTAAGGGACTTTCAGAAAGCTGGTTTATGATGACATCTAAGGCTTGCAATTTAGGGATCTTATTCCAAAGAACAAATTCATTAAATTCATGTTATATTTCTTTGCTCTTTTTTTTTAACCAAAAGGCCACCATAATCATCTAAAAGTTCATGATTTCTTTTTTTTTTCTTTTTTTTTTTTTAGAGAGGGAAAGACAGAGAGGGGTGGGGAAGGGCAGAGGGAGAAGGAGAGAGAGAATCTTAAGCAGGCTCCACACCCAGCCCGACACAGGGCTTGATCTCACAACCCTGAGATCATGACCTGAGCCGAAATCAAGAGTTAGACACTTAACTGCCTGAGCCACACAGGCGCCCCAAAAGTTCATGATTTCTTGATGTCATTTCAAGCTAATGTGTTTTCTCCAAATAGTAGTTTGCAGTTCAAAAAATGTCAGAGAGCATCCCATAACGCAGAACACCCTGGAAGGATCAGAATGTAAGGCAATTCCCCCTTTCTGAGGGAAATATTTTGGGAGAAAACCAAATTTCCTTATCTGATATATGTTAATAAAGGCTCATTCTAGAAATTTCAGACAATACAGAAAATAAGGTAAAAATTAAAATAATTGAAATGCTATAATTAGAGATCATCATTTAAACATTTTAGTTCATTTCCTTCCAGATCTTTCTCCTATGTATGATTATATATTACATTATATTTGATCAGCTCTATTTCTACTTAACATTATAACATAAGCATTTCCCTTATTAGAAACTCTTTGTAAGAAAGATATGTCATCATGTACTCAACCACCCTCCTATTACTCTATATTTATATTATCTGGGGAAGGGCCAGTATCTCAAGCAAATACCAGCCCCTTATACCCCAGTGTACATGGTTTTAGATTCTTTTTTAAAAAACTTTATTGAGCATCTACCCATGTAAAATATATTAAAAATGAATAAAAGTCAGTTCCTGCCCTCAAAAGAGAGATACCTGTAAACAACTGCACAATATATAACAGAGAGAGAAGATTTCATGGAGGAGTCCACATTTGAGGATTTGGGGGCTTTTATTGTTTGTCAATTGCTTATTTTTACGATATTAAGACTTAATTTTGCAAATGTTTGCCAAGTCAAGAGAAACCTACAGGAATCTTTCCCCAACTAGATTTCCCGAACACAGCACCTCTGTTCTGTGGAAATCAGCTGGACTTTGCCTTTATTATGCACCAGCTGAGGGTTTCCAGGACTGGGGACATTTCCCTGAGAGCAGATCTGGATTGGGGTGGGGGGGGGTTGGGTATTGCATGAGGGCACTTGGGCCTGAAGGGATGGGACAACAAGGAAGCCAGGAACAAGTGCAAACCTGAAAGGCCAGAATGAGCTCTGCTACTCCCACACTCACCAATGCCTTGCTTTGCATTTCCATGTCCCACGTGCACCACAGGGACACCTACTACCTGTGCTCTCTGGTTCTTTAAAATAGGCGTGCTTCATCTCCCTCCAACAAGTTCTGGAGTTCAGTGGAGAACCATGATATAACCAGTGAACCCCTGGCCTGGGTTTGAGGCCCAGCTCCATTACTGACTGTGGGTTCTGTATGACCCTGGGTAATTCCCAGCCTCTTTCGTGGACACACTTCTACCCAAACAACCTGACTCTCTCTGTGTCTATAGATATGGTCACAGGCAAGTGACAGATGCACCACTTCTGGCCACACTGACCTACAGATTCTTCACCTCAGATCTGTTTCTCACTTGGACATGGCACCTGTGATGTAACAGTTTCTGGCTGCCTGAAGGTGACGATACCGAGCACTTACCACAAATCACATAACTCAGTACTGTGGGTTTATTTGCTCCATGGCGTGGATCCCTTTCTGAAATGACCTTTTTTGTTGGTTTACTTGCTTATTGTGCATCTTCCTACTAAAATCCACCATGAGAGCAGGAATCTTGCCCAATGCTAACACAGTGTGTGACAGACACTAAAGATGGAACAGTGTGAAAGAATAAATGAACGTAGACTAAATGTGACTACAGAAGATGGATAAGTATGACACAGCACGAGGTACTGGAGAAAGAAAAAACATCCCTGACCTCCAAAGCTCGCAGTCTAATAAGAAGAGAGGAAAAAAAAAACAACAACAAAAGAATTGCAATACAGTGTGAAAAGCATAATCATAGATGTATATGTAGGAAAAGAGATGGTACAGAGGAAGGGACCTAGACATTTTCTGAAGGAAGTGATTTCTGAACTTAGTTTCAAAGAATTAGTGGAAATCTGCCAGGTAGGTAATGAAGGAAATCCTTTCAAGAGGGCCTCTTGGATCTCTATTCTGACCTAAACATTGACCTCATTTCCCTTCCCCATGGAAACTCAGGGTTAAAAATACCCTTGAAGATCATTTAGTTCAATGGTTCTTAAGGAGGACTTTACATTTTTGAAAGATGTCCACAAATTCTCTGATACTCATCCCTTCAGTGGAGCCTAAATCCCCTCCCCCTGAGTGTGGGCTGTACTTAGTGACTCATTTCTAACCAAGAGAATGTGGCAAAATGGTGAGGTGTGACCTCTGAGGCTAGGTCATGAAAGGTCATAAAAATGTGGCTTCCACTTCTCTCTCGGATCACTCATTCTAAAGGAAGCCAGTTTGTGAGGACACACAAGGAAAAGTCAGAGGCCTCTTGCCCACAGCCAGTGAGCCTTTCTAGAGATAGATTCTCCAGCCCAGTTGGGCCCTCCGGAGTCAACATCTTGGCTGCAACCTCATGAGACCCAGAATTCCACACAAACAGAAACTGTAAGATAATAAATGTTTGTTGTTTTAAGCCACTAAATTTGGGGGTGGTTTGTTATACAGCAATAGATAATAAATAGGAGGCCTCAAACAATTTGCATTGATGGGAATGATAACTGTTTGTATCTACCCTATTAGAAATTAAAACTGAAGAATGTTAAAAATATTTGTGTATTAGCTCACTGAAAACAACAGTGATAAACATATATAGTACGTGTTAAGGTAGATAACATGTTTATGAAAAATCACAACTTTGCGAAACAAAAATTAGTTACAAGAATGGTATCATTGTATATTTTTACAAATCTTTTTAATGCCTAATTTAATGGTGGATAAATGGATTCTCATATATATGTCTGCATTTAATCACTTGTGAAATCACAAATCAGGTAGCTTCTGAGAAACTCCATGATAGACTTGTAAAACAGAGTGAAAAAGGTCACTGATCTCATCAAGTCTCTCTACAACACCCATGACTAGAAGATGCTCAGGTCACATGTGAGCATGCCAAGTGACTAGAAACTCCTAGCTCCCCAGAAATCCTACCACTCCCCCAAAACATCACCGGGATTGGAAAGATCCTCCCTCTGGCACCCTCCCTTTGCTCTCCCATTAGTCTGGTGATTCAGAATAAGTTTAATCACTCCTTTAAGGCTAAGACCCTTCTATCGTTTATTTTAAGGGTTATTCATAACTCTACAGTTTACAGGGTACTTTTGCCCATGTTCCCTTAAAAAAAAATCTTTAAAGTAATCAATTGAATTCGGAATGAATATCCCAAAGGATTTATCATGAGTAAGGCCCTCCTGATACTTTCAAGAACCTTATGATCTCTTACCAGACACAAATAGCCCTAGAGCGACTGTTTTCAGATATCAGACTGGCAGAACTTAACAGATAACATAAGGAATGGGATGGTAAAATTAAAAGAACACTGAAAACAATCAGTGCAACTTATCTATTTATTATTTTTTAAAGATTTTATTTTTAAGCAATCTCTGGCATCCAATGTGGGGCTCAAACCCACAACCCCAAGATCAAGAGTCTCACACTCCACAGACGGAGCCAGCCAGGCGCCCCTCAGTCAGTTCACTTTAAAACAGAGATTTCTCGCGTGTCCGGGCTTCGGCGGTGGGGGAGAGTCGCGCAGGGCCGCCGGGGGCCAAGGCTCTAGGCCCGCGCGCGTGTCTGTCCGGCAGGGCCGCCGCTGCCGTCTCCGGAGCCTGAGGTCCCCGAAGGCCGGGCCCCCGCTCCCCGGACCCGGCGTGGGGGCTGCGCCGACCCCGGAGGACTGGGTGGCAGAACCCTCGCAGCGCCTTCAGGCCGGGAGTGGCCTCCCCCTCTGAGGTTGCAGATGGGTGTGGGGTCGGCAGTGTGTGATCAGATCAGCAGCAGAGCGTTCGAGGGATGAGCACTGGCCTGCCTTGAGGTTTTGTGTGCTGAGGTGCTCAAGAATGGTGGTCTGCGGTGTGGAGTTTGAAAGCTGGAGGCGGCAGCCCTTTAGCTTGAGGAGAGGCTATTTTCCCAGAGAAAGGTCAGCCATGCTGCAGCAGGGAAAGAACTTGACGTTTCGAGGACCAGTGGTCACCATACCATCAGTTTGGACTGAAAACCCAGGCTTCAACAGTGGGTGTGGAAACAATGCTTAACTTGTGTTGAGGTTCCGAGGCCATTCTCTTACCAGCAGAGCCAACAAACGTGTTTGGCAAACTTGCTAGGATACTATGCTAGGATAGGCACTGTTGGTGTCATTGAATTCATGAGCTTTCTAGTAATGTATTGTGTTGTATTTTTAGCTCCCCTGCCCAAAGAGAGCTTCTATACCTGTAAATTTTGTATAAATTTGTTCTGTTGGGTGAGGGTCTGAGTTCTTTAAGCTGAACTGATGTATTTCTTCCTGAAACTGATGCTTCTGTGCAATTACCACAAACTACAATAAAGGATGGCCTTGGGCACCTGGGTGGCTCAGTCGTTGAGCGTCTGCCTTCGGCTCAGGTCATGGTCCCAGGGTCCTGGGATGGAGCCCCGCATCGGGCTCCCTGCTCAGCGGGAAGCCTGCTTCTCCCTCTCCCTCTCCCCGTTTGTGTTCCCTCTCTCGCTGTGTCTCAAATAAATAAAATCTTAAAAAAAAAAAAAAAAACAGAGATTTCTCTTTTCTGCTTAAGGCACAGCCTTCTGATTGCATTAGACATCCAAGTCTTGTGTTTTAAGTTCCTCCTATAGCTTCCTGAAAGTTTCATGCATGTTTCCACATGCCTCTCATACATATTTGGGTTTAGCTGTTCACCAAAATTGTCCCCTAGGTCCCTGTTTAGAGATGACGTTGGAGATGACGTCTGCTGGTTTGTGAGAATGGAAAGACAAACTTTGTGGCTGGTTCTGAAACATATAAACAAGCCCGGAAACATTTCCCAAAAAACTATCCAGAGTAGAGAATAAAGTTTCTCTTCATGTTAACCCTAAACTCTGAGGAGAAAGACCAGTGCTCGGCAAGATTTAAAACTTAAGTTTGGAATCCTCTCAGATCCACCTCAAAATACTTGGCACTCACACACACAAAAAAGTACACTGTTGGTGGGTACGTAAATTGGTGTAGCCACTACAGAAAACAGTATAGAGGCTCCTTGAAAATGTAAGAATAAAATTACCAGATGATCCAGCAATGCCACTTCTGAGTATCTATCCACATGAAATCAGGATTTCAAAACGCTATGTGCACCCCATGTTCATTGCAAATTACTCACGATAGCCAAGACATGAAAACAACATGAATGTCCACTGACAGATGGAAGGCGAGAGAAAATGTGGTATATACATACAATGGAACATTATTCATCCATAAGAAGGTAGGAAATCCTGCCCTTGACATGGATGAACCTAGAGGGCATTATGCCAAGTGAAATAAGCCAGACAAAGACAGACACTGTATGATCTCACTGATATGAGGAAGCTAAAAAAAGAAAAAGTTGAACTCATAGTTACAGAGACTAGAATGGTGGTTACCAGGGGCTAGAGGCGAAGGGGAAATGGGGAGATGTTGGTAAAAGGATAGAAGCCTTCAGTTATAAGTATTGGGGATCTAATGCACAGCATGGTGACTATAGTTGATAATACCGTATTGTATACTTAAAAGTTGCTAACAGAACAGATCTTATGTAAGCATTCTCACCACATACACACAAAACAGGTAACCATGTGAAGTGACAGATGTGTTAATTAGCCTTATTGTAGTAATCATTTCAAAATACGTACTTATATCAAATCATCACAACATGCACTTTATCTTACAATTTTATTTGCCAATGGTAGTGAATATATGGTTATAAAGAAATCATCCTACTGTGTACTTAAATAATGCAATTCTATTTGTCAACTATATGTCAATAGCTGGGGAAAAATAAATAATAGGAGAAAAAAGAAATAAAAGTGAAAACAAAATGAATTGAATCTGAAAGCCATTTGCTGATATTTTCAATGTCCCAATTCAGAAGGATCCATTCAGAATATTACGTTATGGGATTTATGGAACATAACATTGTCCCTGAAAAAATTTTAAATTAATATCACACAACTCAGGAAATTCATTCAGCTATTTCTTATCTTCTTTCATTATATAATAGAGGAAAGTTCAAGATTAGTATTTAACTCTTGATAGTAACAGCTAACATTTATTGAGCACTTATTATATCAAGGATTGTACTAAGTGCTTTTCACCTTTAGCTCATTTAATCCTAATAACTCTACTAAGTACCTTAGTTATACCCATTTTACAGATGGAAAAACAAAGTTCAGAACACAGACAGCTAAGTTCCCAGAACTAGAAAATGGCAGAGAAGGAACTGCAAGCAACCTATGAAATGCCAAAGTTCAACCTCTGAATCAATGCACTGTAAAAATCTAGTAGCATGATAAACCTTCAATACGTTTGTATTGGAATGGTGATTTTTTTGCAGGTGATCTTGGAAAGGATGAACTGGGAACTGCCTGGCAACATCAGGAAAAAAGAAGCCTTTGACTTGTCACAACATGCCTATGTGGAAGACCTTGAAATGACCTTCCAGGCCTCAGGAAAAATATTCACTTTAATAATGATTGAAGATATTTGAAAACTAACAAAATGAGAAAAGAAACAGTAAAAAATTTATTTGACTGCGTAAGAGTAATATTAATGAAAACATCTGTGTGCTTGCATATGCATTTATTGTACATTTCAGATTGCATAGATTTTGTGCATTTATTATATATGCTTTATTTTATAGCAACAAGTGCTTCCCATTGGACCTCTCAGACCACATTTGAGTGCAGAGAAGTGGCGCGGTATGGGCTTGGGTGCCTCCTCATCTGGGTCTGAAACCTGCTGCACCTTTTATTGGCTGTGTGGCTTTGGACAAGCTATATAAATTCTCTAACCTCAGTTTTCTCACCTATAAAATGGAGATTAAAAAAGTGAAGGATATGTCTTAAATCTAGGATTTAATACATGTAAAGCACATGGTGCTTTGCTAACTAATAGTTGTATCATTATAATGAGTAATCAGCATGGCTATCTGATCGGTTTTGAAAACTTGGAACAGTTTTGCTTTTTTAATTAGAGGAAAGCATTGTCCTCACCTCCCTCTATTCTGCTGCTGTGTTTCTAATTTATAGTCTCACCTCCTCACCGCCCCCTCTGCTGGGACTTCTCTGTCCTTTAGCAAATACAATAACTTGCTAAGAGAGGAAAAGAGAATGAACAGAGTCAAGGGCTAGAGTAAGTAAAGGATGAGAATAAAAGGTGGAGGCCATTTTTAAGTTTATAAAACAACCTCCACTGACACGCAGGCGGCGGAAATAGATCCTGCATCATGAACAGAGAGGGGACCGTTCTTCGTGAAACTTTCGGAGTGGAAGGGTGAAACGTTTACAGCAACGAACTAGCCAGGGATGGGGAGAACAGACCTGTCCATTCCGCAGGCAACACTCCTGTCTGGTCACACAGAAATACCCAGCGTCCAGAGACAACCGCACTGATTGCACCATCAGAACAGTCAAGACATCTAAACTAGGAACAGGTGAACCCAGAGGTGTGTTCTATGGGATTTTAAAAGACGGAACAGGGAGAACCAAGAGATACCATTCCGGGGCTTGATACTGGCCTTAAACGTGGGATATTAAACATGTATAAATCGGAGATAATAGAGACCATCAGCAAAGTGTACGTAAACAAATTAAGTGCTCAGTAATCTTTGGGAAACTCTAATGTCTGACACTCCTTTTATTAAAGGGGAGGAGAAAGTAGGTCATAGGATCTCAGCTTAGAAAGGAGAGCAGGCTGAGCATCTGAGCCTGTTGAGATAAAAGAGGATGCTTCTGGGGGCCTGGAGGGCAGAGAAGCAGGGAATCCTCCTGAGAACCTGTATTGGGGTCTTCATGAAGCTGTCATTTGTGTTTAGAAGAGTATTTATTATGTTTGAGAATTATTATACAAGAAGAACATTGTCAATGGCCCAACTTCTAATGGGTGGGTAGTTGGAGAAACACTTATCCTTGACTCACTGTTTGCTCTTGGGAATGCTATTTAATCTTTATCACTTTAATTTATCTGTCAATAAAATATGGGAAAAACTCTGGCCTCACCCTGCATTTCAGAGATAAGAGAACCGCACAAGAGGGCCGGCGTCCATGAGGAGGCCGCGACTCGGGCACGGGTAAATTCTTCCCAGTCCGTGATGAAAATCGCCGCTCGGCCACAACCGCCTGTGGGGGAGGGAGGAGAGGGTTGTGAACTCTCGTGTGGAAATTCAAAACGTAAAAAGGAAGAAGAATGGCTGAGAGGACTCAGTGGCCTGAGGTATCAAAGGAATTTGAGACAAATGATGAAAGATAAGAAAATGCAAGACACCCTCACGCCATGTTCCTTCTGATAGGGACCCAGGCAAGTTTCCGCCCCCACAGTGGCCCTTCCTCTTAGACTCCTGCTCCTTCAGAGCAGGCCTCAGCACCTCTTGGGAAATTGGGCAATGCCACCATAACTGCCTGGCCCCACGGCCCCTTCACTGTGCCTTTTTTCTTCCCCTTTATGCCCCTAGCCACCCTATTCCCTAGCCAGGTTCCTGCCCTGCCTTACCCAACCCCATGTGCTCTATCACAGACTCCTGTGTCTTTCCTTTACAGAACTTAGCACAAGTTCCAATTATATGTTAGTTTACTGAGTAATGGAGGCCAGATCCATGTCTCCGGGGTTCATTACTACATTGTAGCTCCTAATACTGTTCTTGGCACATAGATGGCACTCAATAACATATTTTAAATGGATGGATGAGCAAATGGCTGCCTGACCCCGCTAACGGTCTCAGGCAACCCACTCATGGTCAGGTGCAGCCTGTACCACTGGCGGGTTTGTTTATTGTCCCTAGGGCGTGGCACAGAGGAGAAATCTACTTAGGAGCTGAGTGCCCCCAGAAGGACTACTCCCCTAGGAAACAAAGCAGCCACTTCTCTCGGAGGGTTCCTATGTTGCCACTATGCCACTGTCCCTCCCCGGACCGCAAGAATAGGAATAAAGCACTACTCTTCAAAAGGAACCTCCCCCACCCTTCAACTACCACCTCCCTACTAGAAACACCTGCAAGCATTTTCAACCGTCCACTCCTTCTGGCCTGCCCCCCATGCAGACAAACCCTGCATGAGAGGCCAGCAGGCCGGCTCTCCTACTCCCCTGCGGTAGCAGGTCCTCTTCAGATAAAAGGAAATGGCAATATGTTCAAATTAATTTTAAAAGGATTCTGTGATTTACAGTGATTTCTAATAGCAAAAACAATAAATGTTTTTTTAACCAAAATAATCCATCCCATATTAGTTTTGAGGTTCCTGGATGAGATGCGCTAAAATAAATAGTCTCTTTCATGCTAATGCAGCAGCGAAGGTGCAATGCTCCCAACACTGATCTCTTAAAACATAGGTATTTTATCCAGGTCCCGCTCTAGATCTTTATTCTCTAGATCTCCTTTATGTTCATCCTCAAGAAACATATTCACATTACCTAGTAAAAGATACAGAAGGTTGGCATGAATTTTTCTGATTGACTTTGTCACTTACCACATGGTTGCTTCTTCACCTGTTACATTTCTGTTCAAATATATGGAGTTCATTTTTGAGTTTCCCGATTTGGGCCTCAGATTTTGGCATAATTTCTTGGCATGGAGAAAAAAAAATAACAATTAAAATATATGCTTGCTCACAGGTTATTCTGATCCTGAGAATTGTATTTGCTTCTCTTTAATCCTCCCTTATTAAGTATACTTCTAAGAAGTGACTTCATGCATCTTGCAACACACCGCACCCTTTAAATTGGAGGCTTCGTTGGAGCGCTGACTAAAACCCTGCGCTTCTTTGCATAATGCTCCCCGAGCCCTTATATTAGGAAGAAGATAGGCATCTGCCGGTGCCTCTTATCTTATCAGTTCCCAAAGGCACAAAGCATGACCCACATGTTGTGGGCTCTCTATAAATGCAGGAAGACCACTGCCATGGAATCAGCTACATTTAATGCCATTTTAAACTGTTGTCAACTTTGCTCCTCTACTTACAAAGCCACCCGCCACCACTACAGAGATCTCCTGGGGCCCTAGGACTCAGACCCAGATCACTCTACCCTCGGTTATTACTTCCGCACCTGTGCGAGAGCATCTTAGCAAAGAGGCTTCTGGGTGAAGTCACCTCTTCTTCTCATAACCACTCTTCTCCAATATTAATCCGTCTTTTTTTTTAGTCTGAGAGAAATGTGTCTAGCAAAACTTCAATTTTTTACTAGCTCCAAAAAGAGCTCTCAGAACAAGGATGTCAACCTGGATTAAGAACATATTCAAGCAAATGCAAGTTACATGATTTTTCATTTCTTTTTACCCAACTTTAGCTAGGAAAAATACCAGGAAGGACTAACAAAAAGAATGAAGATTATACTGAGTCATTTACTGGAATTCCATGATTCTTTGTTATTTTTCCCTTAATCCTGGCCTTTTCTCAAATATCCTTTACTAGTTCCTCTCTTTGACTCCTTTTTTTAATGTATTTTTAATAGCTAATGCTGTTAAATTGAGACATAATTTACATACCATAACTTGACATGTTTTAAGTGTCCAATTCAGTGATTTTTCCATACTACCACAATCCAGTTTTGGAACATTTCCATCACTCCAAAAAGGCCCCTTGTGTGCATTTCTTTCTTAGCCAGGAGCTTAGTCTTGGACCACTGCTCTTTATAGTCACATCGTAAATGATCTCATCTGGTCTCCACATTTTAAATACCAGATGTATACTGATGACTCCCAAATCTATATCCCCACGCTGAACCTCTCCCCTAAACTCTAGACTCATCTCCTCTTAGATGTATAATAGGCATCTCAAACTCAGCATGCCCGAAACTGAGTTTTGATCTTTCCTAAAACTGCTCCTCCCACAATCCTACCCAGTTAATAGTAATTCTTTATTCCAGTTGCCCATGCCAAAACCCTGGGAGCCATCCTGACGCCTCTCTTTCTTCACACCGCAACACCCAATCCACCAAGAAATCCTATTGGCCCTACCTGTAAAATACGACCAGAATCCAGCTACTTCTCCTGCCGACACTGCTAACAGCTGGGTTCAAGCCACCACATCTGCCCCCTGGATAACTGCCATAGCCCCATTACTTCTCTCCTGCTCCTATACTTCCTCCCTACTTTCAGTCCTCAACACAGGAGCCCGAGTGATTCTTTTACGTTTTAAACCAGACTACGTCATGACTCCACTCAAAACCCTGCAAGGGCTTCCCATCTCACTCAAAACAAAAGCCAATATCCTGACAGTGGCTCACTGGTCCCCATATGTGCTCCCCAGGAGCATTTGTGGCCCCCATAAGACCTCAATTCCAAGTGCTATTCCCCTTGTTCACTCTGCTTCAGTTTCACTGGCCTCCTTGCTCTTCCTCAAATACACCTGGCTCAGAACCTAAGTACCAATTGTTTCCTTCTGCCTACAAGACTCTTCCCCAGGAAACTGTTTGCCTAATTTCTTTATCTCCTGAAAGCCTTTCCTCAAGTCTTACTTCTCAGTGAAGCCTACCTCCATCACCCTATTTAGATTAGATTAGATTAGATTAGATTAGATTAGATTCACCCCTGCACTCTCAATCCCCCTTACCTTATTCTACTTTTTCTTATTGCATGGCATTTTCCACTCTTTAACTTGATAAGCTGCTCTTAAATTTAACAGGAGAAAGCAAAGGGCAAAGAAGAGCCACAATAATATTGAAGGAGAATGAGGAAGGATATTATCCCCGCCAGATATAAAACTTACTATAAAGCTTCAGTCATTAAAAGGGTACAGCAATGGTGCAAAGATCGAAAAAATAGGACCAATCAAATAGGATAAGGACCCAGAAATAAACCCATGTCTACATAGGAACTTGGGATATGACATTTTATCATCACAAATCATGGAGAAAGAAAAATTATTTAATAACTTCTGCCAGGACAATTGGCTTTCTATTTGGAAAAAGATAAAATTAGATGTCTATTTTACATCATACACAAAGTAGATTCCAGAGGGATTAAGAGGCTAAACACAAAAAGAAAAACTTTCAAACCTTAGAATAAAATATAGGAAAATATATTTATGACATCCTGGTAGGGAAAGTTTTCTCAAAAAGACAAAAAATGCACAACCATATCAAAACTAAAAGGCAACCTATGGAATGGGAGAAGATATTTGCAAATGACATATCCAACAAAGGGTTAGTATCCAAAATATATAAAGAACTTATACCACTCAACACCTAAAAGAACAAAAAATTCCAATTAAAAGATGGACAGAAGACATGAGCAGACATTACTCCAGAGAAGACATACAGATGGCCAATAGACACATGAAAAGATGGTCAACATCATTCAATTCGGGGAAATGCAAATCAAAACTACAATGAGATATCACCTCACACTTGTCAGAATGGCTAAATTCAAAGCACAAGAAACAACAGGTTTTGGTGAGGATGTGGAGAAAATGAACACTCAGGCACTGTTGATGGGAATGCAAACTGTACAGCCACTGTGGAAAACAGTATAGAGGTTCCTCAAAAAGTTAAAAATAGGGGCGCCTGGGTGGCTCAGTTGTTAAGTGTCTGCCTTCGGCTCAGGTTGTGATCCCAGGGTCCTGGGATCGAGCCCCGCATCAGGCTCCCTGCTCAGCGAGAAGCCTGCTTCTCCCTCTCCCACTCCCCCTGCTTGTGTTCCCTCTCTCGCTGTGTCTCTCTCTGTCAAATAAATAAATAAAATCTTTTTTAAAAAGTTAAAAATAGAACTATCATATAATCACTATGCACTACTGTGTATTTACCCAAAGAATACAAGAATACTAATTCAAAGGGATACATGCACCCCTATGTTTATAGCAGCATTATTTACAATAGCCAAGATACAGAAACAGCTCAAGTGTCCATCGATTGATGAATGGCTAAAGAAGTGCCATAGATAGACGATAGATGATAGATAGATGGATAGAGGTGAGAGATATATATATAATGGAATATTACTCAGCCATAAAAAAAGAATGAAATCTTGCCATTTGTAAGGACATGGATAGAGCTAGAGAGTATAATGCTGAGCAAAATAAGTCAGTCAGAGAAAGACAAATACCATATGATGTTATTCATATGTGAAATTCAAGAAACAAAACAAAGGATCATAGGGGAAGAAGGGAAAAATAAAATAAGATGAAATCAGAGAGGGAAACAAACCATAAGAGACTCTTAACTATAGGAAACAAACCGAGGGTTACTGGAGGGGAGGTGGGTGGGGGGATGGGGCAACTGGGTGATGGACATTAAGGAGGGCACGTGATGTAATGAGCACTGGATACTGCATGCAACTGATGAATCACTAAACTCTACCTCTTACACTAATAACACACTATATGTTAATTAATTGAATTTAAATAAAATAAAATAAAATTTAGGGGCACCTGGGTGGCCCAGTCAGTCAAGTGTCCATCTCTTGATTTTGGCTCAGATCATGATCTCAGGGTCATAAGATCAACCCCGTGACCGGCTCCATGCTGGACATGGAGCCTGCTTGGGATTCTCTCTGTCCCTCTCCCTCTGCCCCTCTCCCCCCACGCTCATGCATTCTCTCTAAATAAACAAATAAATAAATAAAATTTAGATGTTGATATATATGAATAAGCAATTAATTTACAGAAAGAGGAAATTTATCTGGCCAGTGTACATATGAAATATGTTCAATCTTATTAAATGATATGTAATTAAAATGATAATGATATTTAACTGGCTCCACATAAAATAAAATAATAATAAAATAATAATGCAAAGTATAATTCATAAAGATGTAGGGGGAAGTGAAACTTATACACCATGATGGGGTACGTAAATTGGTCTAACAACTTTGGAGAATAATTTGGCAATATCTAATAAAGCTGAAAATGTATGTAAGGTACAACCTAATAGGTTCATTTTTAGAAATGTACCTGGAGAAACTCTCAATGTATACACACAAAATT